TTGCTAATAAACGTACAGTTTACCGCATAATTCTATCGATCTTTGTTGTAGATATATTTAATTTTGAAATCAGCGCTTATTCGCTGATCACCCTGTAGGTAGACTATGGCACCTTACATCCTTAACAAGGATATTTTAATTGTAGTTAATGTTCAGTTAAATCTTGCAAAAATTCCGGAAAAATATTGAAAATTGCCCCCTTCCCAAACAAATGTTTCAAGCTATCCATAAAGCTCGTTATAACAAATTTTCGTATATTTAACGGTTCGCTATAGCCCTCTCAAATAGTGTTAAGTTTATAGGAAATTTGACAAGGCCAAAAAGTTCGTTTTTTCGTTTTGCGGGATTATTATTAACAGAGTTCGTTATAAAAAGAATATATTCTTTGTTAGGTGAAACTAAATCAGCAGTCAGACATTACATATCAACTAAAAAAATTTAATTTATGCTTCTTGACTAACAACTTAAATTAGGCATCATTATTCTTTATGGATGCTGACATTGTTTAGCATATAATAAAATGTAGAATAAAATAAGCGCAAAACTTTTATATGAAGAAACGCACTTTTATTTTGTTCAAAATAATTTTTTGCCTTTTATTTAAATAATTGTTTTGTTATATTTAAATTAGAGCGTGCATTTCTCATTTTTAAACACACTATTCATATTCAAAATATATTTTATTATGAAAATTGAACTTTGTTTAATGTGTTTGCTTCGAATATTTTTCTCACTGTAATCTTGAGAATATAATAAAATACACTCATGTCCAAAATTATGTTTACATGCATAAATTCACGGATTTCTCAGAGACTATGACTTATAATTTAATGAATTTTCGTGGAATCATACATAACATGATGACACATAAATGCAAAAGAAAAAATTGAAGATCACCTCATATGATATAAAATTGTAGCATGAAACAATAAAAATGGTAATAAAGTGTAACAAAGAGAGTTAAGAAAAAAAGGAATGATTCAGAAAAAGAATTAAGTCTTACGAATTTAATATGGAATATGATCTACCCTGATTTGTACACACATAACACAACGGGTTTTAAGGCTGGAAATAACGTTGTTAACCACAGTTTGGGGAATTAATCTCCACTCTTCCAGCAATGCAGTCTTCAGAGCATTTACATCTCTAGGAGGAGGATGTATACGTGCAATTGCTCTTCCAAGGTAGTCCCATAAGTTCTCTATCGGGTTAAGGTCAGGAGAGTTTGGTGGCCAAGGTATTCGCTTAATGTCTTCACTTTCAAGGAATTCATCAACGAGGTTTGCTGGATGTGGACGGGCATTATCATCCATAAATAAAAAGTCAGGTCCATATGCATCCCTGAAAAGTCTTACATAAGGATCTAAGACCTCATCTTGATATATCTGGCCTGTCACAGATCCGCTGCTGAACACGTGTAGGGGCGTACGTCCATCGATCATTATTCCACCCCATACCATCACACCTCCACTACCGAAACGGTCACGTTCCACAATGTTCGAGGGATCATTTCGTGTTCCTGACTCCCTCCAGATGTAAACATGTTTAGAATCACCAGTTAAACTAAACCGCGACTCATCAGTAAAGAGAATATGGGACCATTGATGTTCAGTCCAGCTTTGATGTTCATTACACCAATTAAAGCGATCCCTCTTTTTCTGTGAAGACAGTAAAACACATACCCTTGGCTTTCTGGCATAAAGGCCTTTTTCATTAAGCCTTCTGTATGTTGTTTGCCGTGATGCAACAGTTCCAGTGGCGGCTGCAAGCTCTGAACTTAACTAGCGAGCAGTAGCCTTTCTGTTACGACGGGCAGTTAATGCCAAATACCGATCTTCAGAAGCAGTTGTCATTCGTTTCCGACCTTGTCCAGGCCTCCTTACAACACTTCCATCATTTTGAAACTGTTTCCATAGCTTAGAGACTGTCTGTCTTGAAATATTCAGACATGTGGCTGTTTCCATGATTAACTGCCCTGCTTCTAAACGGCCGATAATTCGCCACTTTACAGATTCTTCCAAATGATACTTCGAAGCCATAACAAACCGCTTTGAATCCCTACACACTGAAATCAAACGCTATGTTGCAGAAATTCACTCAAATATTCAGTTTGCGCAAAGCGCTTGATTCACTCTTGGATGACGTAACGCCTAGATTTGCATATCACAAACCGTTTGATTACTTTTGATTGGATAATGCTAATTAGGCTTGGTTTTCACACATTCCCTGCAAATACGGATCACATTGATTCGATATTTCATTGAATATCATCATTTTTGGGTATGTAAAGATAATTTTGGACATGAGTGTATATTTTAACGCTTGAATAAAGGTAGAAACTTCCTCTCTGAGATTAAAGTAGCGATTTTTTTCAATTAACTAACTTTCATTCGCTGTTGCATATTACAGATTAAACTTTTAAAATGTGCATTTCTGAGTTTGCCGATCTTTTATTTCGAAAATAGTCAGAATTATTCACAGTAAGGTTTCTTATTATTTTGCAGCTTTTTTTAAAGTAATTTAATCGTTGTAAGTATTTGCCTGTGAATACTGTATAGCCCTGCATAATGCACAAGAATTTGCCTGTATAGACTCTAAATTCCTCAACATTTTGTTTTACCAGATACGTCAAGTAAGCGTCTCTCCACAGTACTCAATTTTTCCTTTTTAATTAACAAAAGAAACCGCGGACAGTTACTAGTTGAAAAATAATTAGTCGTATTACAAGCTAAAGAGCTGCAGTTTTAGCTCCCTTTAAAACCACTTATATGAATTATCATGCAATTAGGGGAAATATCTACTAATTATAAGACCTAAATAACATAAAATTAATTAAGAGACCCAGACCATGGAAACCTTTAACACAAATATCTGCAATATTATACAGAATTTGATTATTGTAGTCTTTCTTCTTGAGATTATCTACAATGCCTGAAAATTTAATTTGATTAACCACTGAAAGCTATTTTGATGCATAATATTAAGAGTAAATCCTATTTTTCATGTAGTTTTAAATTAATATACTACGCAGTTTTGTTTTCTCAATTTTCATCTTTCATTATGGACCTCTAAAACCCTACATCAGATTTTTTCATGCTGAAGATTTTAAATTTAATTAACCCACTTATTCATAGCTTCTGTTACCTTTTTCTCATCCTTTCAGTTCTAGCTAATGTAAATTTAATTAATATTACAATTTAATAGGAGGAGAAGGCATCAAGCTATAGCAATTAATTTTTGCAGAGCAAGTTGTGCAATTCTCGCGACATTTCAATACTTGCGCCTGCCTTTTTGCTTGACATAGCACATACTGGAGAATGTAATTAGCAGTGTGCATGGAGGGTAAAGAAATTTGGTTTCATTCAGTGTATCTAAAAAGAAATCTAATCTGTTAAGTCAAAAACAAAATAGAATATATTTTGCCAATATTCAAATTGTTCAAAATATGCTCCTTTTCCCGGAATATAATAGAGTACCCTGGACCAGTATTCATGCCCGGCACTATGCGTGTTGCTGCCCGGTGCGTTTCCTGTGGAACTTTAATTCTGCTACCCGTAAATTCTGCTGGCCATGTGCAGACCGCACCGGTTCCACCGGCTCTGGCCGTGGTTAAATTACTGCAAATCCATCTTTTGGATGACCTTGAACATGATCATTCTCGTTACAATACAATCGCACAGCGTGATTTTCCTTTTATTTTGGGAAGCAGAAAAATGTCGAATGATGTACATATAACGAATAAGATAGGTGATGGAGAACAAGCCATAGCCCCTCTCCTCTTAATAGAGTGATAAAATAATTTATGAAGCGAAGCATTGTCGTACGACATATGCCAGGTTCCTTGTACTCAGTTCTTATTAATACATTTCAACACGAGCGTTCAACCTTAAATAATAGTTGCAGTGGCAGCTTCGCTTTCTGAAATGCGTTCGTGATGAATGATGCTCTTCCCGATCGTAAGAAAAATATTAACACTGTATTCGCGATTTCTCGAAATAGTTTTGTTTTTGACGACTGTGGAGATATCTATGATGCAAACTGGTATTTCTCAGGACTTAGAAGTTTCCTTTTCATACCTGTATCTCAGAAATAGTTGTTATAGGATATATTAATTTGGACTCTCATTAGCTTATTTTAATAACACTTTTACATTACTGAAAGCGTGTTTTATATTAGCTTTGTGGACAGCAAACTGAGCGCATAATTTTCTGCCATGAACTTAAACCTTCTACAAGCCTAATTTTTCAGGAAGCATTTGACATGACCCATTAAAATGGAAAGCAATAATATCGAGCACTTTTTTTGATTAATCAAACGGTAGTCGCAGTCTTAGGACGGACTTTGAATCTTCATCAACAAATTATATTCTGTTGTGAAATGTTCATATAAATAAAACTGGCGCACGCAACAGACGATATTTGCCATAAACACCATGCATCAACGCAAGCAATTTCGTGAATATTTTATCAGGCATGAAACAGAGCTTTACTCGTCAGAGCTAATGCTTTACTCGTCTTATTTCTTAACGATGAGTCAATTAGCGAGTACAGTTTAATCCACATTTCTGAGAAAGTATTTATTACACATTTTCCTCTAAATTTAACACACGCATTTTGTTTAAACTTTATACTTTAAATTTTATTTAGAGCTGCCCATTTGAGGAAATTCAGCACGTTCAGTTTTTTTTTTACAGATTGTGGTCGCATCAAGTCACAAAAAAGATCTGTTAATTTAAGTTAATTAAATCGTTTGATGAAGGATGAATGCCTTAGTGTTGAGCAATCGACACTTATTGAATATGCAAATAGCCTTCTAGTCCCTAACCACATTTTAATCGGCTTATTTTCAGATAAGTCGTCTCTTAACACTAAGCTGTATTTCAAATGTGTGTAGATGATAAGCTTTCAGCGACACCAGAATCTAACTAAGCAGTTAATGATAAAAACCTTAATATCTTAAAACGACAATTAAAAGCAATTTTCATTGAAGTATGGACTTACTTGCAGAAATTGACTGAGGTACATTTCTTTCCCTGCAGATATCTTCTCTTTCGGTGTTCACATTCGAAGGTACGACTGGTAAATATATAGCATTATATAAAAATTTATTATTAATGAAAAATTTATGACCATAACAAATGTGATGGTGCTTCCAGAGTTCTGGAAACTAGAATCCTGCCTAAGTATAAAATGAAAAACTACGCAATATGTATAATCCAGTACTATTACACGTTCTCAATGGACATTAACCCTCTCCCAGGATGTCAAAAAGCCGAGCTACTTTAACAAGTATTGATTTTTCGTTTATACGAATTCATGCAGTTTCATGAGGCACTAATACTCTAATGATGGTAAACAGGGTAAAGTCTCAAGGACTTTTCGAGGGAAATCTAAAAGCTAATTCCAAGTAGGATTAAAAATATTCAATTAAAGATTGGTTACATAAAAAGTTACAATTAATTAATATATATGAAAAGAAGTAAAATAAAATATTTGAAGCAAAATTCACAGAACTTTGGAAACACCTCTGGTATTTATCATCCAAAATACAGATATGTAAGAAAGCTTTTCGATACTATTAAACGAGGAGTCACGAGGAATACTTTCTAGTACAGCTTTGGGCTTATAAAGAAGTTAGTTTGGAAACTAAAAGCCAACTATTTTATTGCTTAGAAAAGTTTTGAGTTGTTGCCTGAAAATCTTTAATTTACTTTTAGAGCAAGTTGCAATATTAATATTACAATTTTAATGCACGCAATGTTTTTTACTTATTTTGTTTACAAATACGATTGTGATATAGGATTTCAACATTCGAAGATCAGTTGAAATTTCAATCAAAATCACAGACTCGGTGTTCATTAATAAGAATAAATTTGCAGCGAGTAATGAGAAAATCACACAGATAGTACTTTTAGGAGAAAACAGCAGCTAAAATGTGTGAATACCGGGAGATTTAGAAGTGCTTTATGCATAGCTTGAGTACTCAAGTTTTAAGCAAAGTGTATTTTCTTAAAGGAACCTGTATAAAATACTGAACACAACGCTTTCACAACCAGAAATATGGTTATGCTCGAAAACATGTAGGTTTGATGTTGTTTACAATTAGTTGCGTTACCCATCTGATGTCAAAGCAAAGTTGCAGTTAGAACTAGTTGAAAATTAGGCTAAAGATGCAATCTTATTTTCTGCTTACGGTATTTCTAAGACATTGTATTCATAGCTGTATATCTGTTTCTCATGAGCAATTTGAGTATGTGCTGGTAAACATATGCTCTAACTAAGTTAAATAAGATTTTGCTTAAAAATATAATGTATATTTAATAAAAACTGATCTCTGGAGGAAACTGAAGTTTATTCCTATAGCTGACATTAGATAAATTTAATTTTATAATGACAAAGATTAGCACTTGTTCAAAATCGATGCATGCTCCTTTTTCTAATCCAGAATACACGCAAAATGTCTCCTTCTGAATTTCTTATAGAAGAGCCTGAAGTCTCATCCTCCAGTGACCAGCAGTAGGTATGAGTGAGTGAGTGAGTGAGTGAGTGATTATGGCGCAAAAACCAGAGATGATTATGACGCGCCAAACAAAAGATGAGATGATTACAATTGATGACATTAAAATTCAATAAATAAAAACAAGTAGATAAATGTACCAAATCCAGAGGATGAAGTCATATAAAAACAAGTTAAAAGCACATATTAACATTCAAGACACAGTCTTCAAAACAAATTACATTTGGTAATAAAAGCCAATCTCTTTTAAATAATAAATAAATTAGAATTGACCTCTCTTCCGATTAAACGGTCGAGAGGTAAGTCACAGCTATTAAAATATTTCTGGCGAAGACTATTAAAACATTGACACTCAATTAAAATATGACGAACAGATAAACAAACATTACAATTAAAACAAACAGGCTCATTTTCAGCTTTAAGAAGATAGCTATGTGTGACTCTGGTATGACCAATTCTGAGTCGAGTCAAAAGAACGTCCTCTTTACGATTTCCAGCAAAATCCCAATGCTCAATTCTAGGTTTGATGTTTCTCAACTTGTTGTGATGCTGAACATCCCAAATTTGCTGCCATTTTTTTCGTATCTTTCCCTTGATGACACAGCAGATGTCTCTAAAAGGGATAAGGCGACTGGACAGTTCGACAGCAGATTTTGCCGCGATGTCTGCAAGCTCGTTTCCCTTTATTCCCGTATGCCCGGGAACCCAGCAGTACAGGATTTCATATCCTCGTATCATTAAATTTCTATGAATTTTTGAGAACATCCACTACCACAGGATTCTGAGCGTTGGGAAAAGCTTCCAAGGATTTAAGAGCACTATACGAGTCTGTGTAAACTATGAACTTTTTGTGGCAGAGCTTTGAGATGTACAAAAGAGCATAATATATTGCAGTTAGTTCAGATGTTAGGACAGAGAAAGCATGGTGCAGGCATCTGCCCTCTATGTAATTTTCAAATACAAAAGCCATCCCGACATGATCATTTGACTTTGATCCATCTGTGTATATCGGATAATAACTGCTATATTTGTGCCTGTGCTCAGCGAAAATTTGTCTGTAAACGATCTCGTTAGTGCTCGCCTTTACGTGATGTTTAAAAACATCAAGAAGCTGGATCCGTGAATTTTCCCAAGGTGGAATTTCAAAATTCTGTACTGCTTGGGGGTGCATATCAGAGAGGGAGAGTTCCTCAATGACAGGGCGAACTCTTAAAGGGAAAGTAGGAACACAGGATGGACGTGTTTGAAATAATGTGTTACACTCATTATCAAGTAAGCACAGCTTATTGGGATGTTCAGGTTGTGATAGAGTATTAAAATATTGCAAAAGGGACAATTGCTCACGCCTCAGATAAAGTGATGGTTCGTTACAGTCAACATATAGGCTCTGCACAGGAGAAGTCCTGAAAGCTCCTGAACAAATCCGCAGACCTTGATGGTGAACAGGATCCAGTTTTAACAAAACAGATGACCGAGCGGATCCATAAACAACTGAGCCATAGTCCAGTTTAGAGCGGATAAGCGCTCTGTAAATGCGAAGCATGGAGCAACGCTCTGCACCCCAGGAGGTGTTCGCCAACACTTTTAAAATATTTAGTGTTTTTAGACACTTCTTTCTCAGGTTTAAAACATGAGAAAGGAAAGTCAATTTTCGGTCGAACGTCACTCCTAAAAAAAATTTACTTCAGGCGCAACTGGAATAATTGTACCATTCAAGTATAACTCAGGTTCAGGATGGAGACCTCGCTTCCTACAAAAGTGCACGCAGACAGTTTCTGTTTCGAAAATGTAAATCCCTGTTTGTCTGACCATTCTTGGATCTTAATCAGAGCCATCTGCAGTTGCCCTCTCTACATATCTCATGTCTGCTCCTCGACAGCTAATCTGCAGATCATCAACATATAGAGATCCCAAGATGGTGGGAGGAAGTTCTTTTAGTACAGAATTTATTTTTAAACTAAACAGGGTTACACTGAGCACACAGCCTTGAGGCACACCCTCTTCCTGTTCAAAAACATCCGAAAAAACAGAGCCAATTCTTACTTGAAAAGTTCTAGTGTTCAAGAAATTTTGAATGAAAATTGGTAGGTTGCCGCGCAAGCCACTCTCGTGAAGATCCCGGAGTATACCGTATCTCCATGCCTTATCATAAGCTTTTTCAATGTCGAAGAATATCGAGACAAGGTGGCTTCTTCTTACAAATGCTTTTCGAATAGATGTCTCTAAGAGGAGCATGTTATCTACAGTTGTTCTTCCCTTTCGAAAACCACTCTGATAAGGCGATATAATATCATTCTTTTCCAAGAAGTAGACTAGGCGGCTGTTTACCATCTTTTCAAACAGTTTGCAGAGGCAACTCGTAAGGGCAATTGGCCGATAGTTGGAGGGATTCCTTGGATCTTTCCCTGGCTTAGGAATAGGAATGACAACAGCTCTCCTCCATGCACTGGGAAAGGCATGCTCCTTCCACACCCTATTGTAAAGAGTGAGAAGGGCATTCAGTGACTTACAGGACAGATGCTTTAGCATTTCATAATTCACTCCATCAAGACCCGGAGAAGACCTATGTGTCTGCAATAAAGCACTCCTTAATTCAAGCATAGTAAAGTCTCTATTGTAAGGCTCAGATTTGGAAGAGTTGAATGCGATGGGATTTATTTCAGAGTGCTGCTTCATAGAAAGAAATGCAGGTGTATAGTTTCTGCTGGAAGAAACGGAAGCAAATGTCTCACCAATAGTATTCGCAATTTCTTCTATGGAGCTAATCACTCGGCCATCTTTTTCCAAAAAGGAAAGTGAGTGGTCTTTATATATGCCGCATGCTTTTGAACTCTTTCCCCAAACCCGCTTGCTAGGCGTGGAGGATGTTATTGACGACACATATGAAATCCAGGAATCCCTCTGGCTCTGCCTTCTTACTTTTCGTGCATTTGCTTTGGCTCTTTTAAATGCTATGAGGTTTCGCAGAGTAGGATATCTACGAAAAATTACCCCATGCTTTTTTCTGTTTTTTCAGTTGCTTCATGACAGGTCGCGATTCCCACCATGGTTTTGAATATTTTAGCATTAGTTTTCCTGATGTTCTAGGAATCGAAAGCATAGCTGCCTGAATAATAGTATTAGTAACAGCTTCAACAGCGTCATCGATATGCGCATCTTCTACCATTTCATCTGTGAGCTCTGCAGATGGAAGAGAAGAGTTCCCAGTCTGCCCTGTCCAGTATAAATGAAATCGAGGGGATCCTCGACATGGGGTTTGATCCTCTTCGTGCAAGAGACACAAAGAATGGGATAATGATCACTGTTGTAAAGATCTTTACCCACATTAAAAGTGCAAAAAGGCAACAGAGATGGTGAACAGATGGCAAGGTCGAGAGCATGGAATGTTTTTGAAGGCTCATGGAAGTAAGTATCTTGCCCATTATTGAGGAGACAAAGGCTATGATCTTCGATCATCTGCTCAATTTGTCTTCCTCGGCAATTAGTATCCTTACTACCCCAGAGCGGACTATGGCCGTTAAAATCTCCTATTATGATGAAAGGCTCAGGCAGCTGCTCT